GAGAGATGGGGTGATGTTTGTTTTTAAAATTTAATATCATGCTCTGTTCAATTTTATGCCTTGCTTAAGCTAGATTTTTTTTTTTTTGTTCTTTTCATGTAGGAAGTTGTTTCTGGTCTGGGACTTCATCATGGCTGTGTGTGGCATTATGGCCTGCATGGTGATGTCAACAGTGTGTTATTAATGGCAGATATTGTTCTTTATGGTTCTTCCCAAGATGAACAGGGTTTTCCCCCTTTACTTATCCGGGCCATGACCTTTGGAACCCCTGTCATCGCACCTGATATTCCTGTCTTGAAAAAATATGTGAGTGTATTCAAGTATTTGTAGACTTGATTCCTTCTTTGTTAATATATGTTTAGCACCTATCTCCATTTGTTTCTTCCTTTGAAGAGATTGACAAATAAATTTCTTAAAATAACAGGTTGATGATGGAGCCCATGGGATATTGTTCTCAAAATATAGCCCTGAAGCATTGACAAGGGCTCTCTCTCTTTTGATATCAAATGGAAAACTTTCTAAATTTGCTCAAACTCTTGCTTTCTCTGGAAGACTGCTTTCTAAGAACATCCTTGCATCAGAATGTATAATTGGTTATGCAAGGCTTTTGGAGAACTTGATTAGTTTTCCATCAGATACCTTGTTGCCTGGTCCTGTGTCTAACATTCAACGGAGGGAATGGGAATGGAACTTGCTCAGCAAGGAACTAGAACAGGAAATTGATGATTTGTTAAGCATGGCTGAGGGCGATTTTTCTTTCAGAGAAACCAGTGCTGTTTATTCTCTTGAGAAAGAATGGAGCAATCATGTTAATTCAACTAGCATCTTTGAGCGTGGAACTGAAATTCTAGTACCAGATATCCCAACAGAAGCAGATTGGGATGTTTTGAGTGAAATAGAAAGCTTTGAGGAATATGAGAGGGTGGAAACAGAGGAGGTATGCTATTCCTTTTGAGGGTCATGCCTCACACAACATCTACTTTCTAGTTGCTCCAGTTGTCTTGGGTTATTTTTTGGTCTTCATGTTGTGAAATTTTCTTCAAAAGACAGCTGAAATGGAGAATTATTTCCTATTTAGCTTCAAGAAAGAATGGATAAAAGTCATGGTTGGTGGGATGAGATTTATCGTGATGCTCGAAAATCTGAAAAGCTGAAGTTTGAAGCAAATGAAAGGGATGAAGGGGAGCTAGAAAGGACTGGCCAGCCAGTATGCATTTATGAGATATATGATGGAGCTGGGGCCTGGCCATTTTTGAATCATGGATCTTTATACCGTGGCTTAAGTCTTATAAGTTTCTTCCAGCCATATCTGGAACTTATATTTTTTTGTATTTATAAAGAAATTATATTTCCTCTTAGTACTTACCACATTTCTTTCTTTCTTTCCTTTTTTTTGGTTGCTTTCTAGGATATTTTCTTTCTTTTCTTATTCTTTTTTTTTTAGAAAAAAATTAATTGGCATGCACACACATGCCATTTTCTGGAGATAATAGTTAGGGCATTTGAGCTTTTTGCAACTGGTTTTGTTGCTTCCTGAAATGACAAATAATTACATATTGGTAACAGAACTGTATGTTGCATCTGCACTCTACCCATAATTTCTCTTTTGTTTATTGTCCTAACATTCAATTAATGGTTCTTTACTAAGATTTGAACTGTATATTGCTTTTTTTGGAGATGCTGTGATGTCCAAGCGTTTTATTCCAATATAAAGAAACCTTATAATTGGTGTTTGAATCTTTTAAGATATGCTCCTGTACGAGCAGTCATGCTTTAAGTAGTTTTGATTTCTTAATCATGCTACATTTATATCTCTTAGTCTACAAAAGCGCGGAGGTCAAGCTCTGATGATGTGGATGCAGTTGCCCGGCTTCCCCTCCTGAATGACAGTTACTATCAGAATATATTATGTGATATAGGAGGAATGTTTTCTATTGCAAACAGGGTGGATGACATTCACAAGAGACCTTGGATTGGGTTTCAATCATGGCATGCTGCTGGTAGTAAGGTATCTTTTATGCCAGTGATATTATAGTTTAAACTATCAAAATTGCAGGATCAGATACATCAAATTTAAGGTCATTATTTTTCCAAGTTGCAACCAGCTTCTTGGAAAAATTGCAGAATTTGATATTCGCGCAAACCAGTTAGCATAGCATATTTCTGGTGAAACTGGTGTTCTCTGTTTAAAATAATTTATTTTCAGAAGTGCAATTATTGACTGTTCCTTTTCTTGATTCAGGTTTCATTATCATTTAAAGCTGAACAAGTTCTAGAAGAAAAGGTGCAAGAAGAAAATAAAGATGTAATGTACTACTGGGCTCGCCTAGATATGGATGGTGGAGTTACAGGAAGCAACGATGAACTCACTTTCTGGTCCATGTGTGACATCTTAAATGGAGGACGCTGCAGGTATCTTTGCTTCAAGTAGGGGGGCTTCATGGTCAGGTCATTTTGGGCTATGTTTAAAAATGTCAGATTGTCCATCTATCCCGTGGTGTCTGTGGGTCCCTTACACATACCTTACAAGTTTTGTTATTCTTTTATTGTTTTCATTCTTCTATCTTCACCTGAACAAATCTGTTATTTTTTAGCCAAATAAATGGGAAAACTGTTTTTGGATGCCTCTTGCATTTGCTCTTATACTACTGCTGAAATCACTTGTGGAAAAGGCTGGTTTGACCATCTTCAGTTTAGCTTTAAACAGGGCCAAATGGGTAAAGGCTAATCGTACATGCCTTATTGTAATTGCACTCTGTAGATTGTTATTACACAGATGTGAGCATTTGCTTTTTCAAAGCCAGAATTTTAACTTCTGGCTTTTGAATGCATGCAGAATTGCTTTTGAAGATGCCTTCCGCGATATGTATGGCTTGCCATCGAATCTTGAAGCTCTTCCTCCGATGCCAGAAGATGGAGGTCACTGGTCTGCCCTGCATAGTTGGGTCATGCCAACCCCTTCCTTTCTGGAGTTCATTATGTTTTCAAGGTAATTTATGAAGGATGCTATTTTACACCCAAGCCAGTTCCCTGTTACATATATGAAATGTTATGTCCGAGGCATTCTTGGTAGTTGCAAGTCCATCAATAGTTGATGTTTTGTAAAACCAAATTGCAGAATGTTTGTTGATTCTCTTGATGCTCTGCAATCCAACTCAAGCCAAATGACCAAGTGTCTGTTGAGTTCCTCAGAGCTACAGGTAAGATACATAGATACTAGACTGCCTGCTTCATATGTCTAGGAGAGATTATAGTACTACCATTCATGAATATATTTATCTAATGGTATGCAGGAAAAGCATTGTTATTGTCGAATATTGGAAGTCCTTGTTAATGTTTGGGCTTATCATAGTGCGCAAAGGATGGTTTACATAGATCCACACACTGGTTCTGTAGAAGAGCAGCACCCTGTTGAGCAAAGAAAGGGAATAATGTGGGAAAAGTACTTTAAGCTTATGGTGTTGAAGAGCATGGACGAAGATCTTGCTGAGGCTGCAGATGATGGAGATCATCCAAGGGAGAGGTGGCTATGGCCACTAACAGGAGAAGTGCATTGGCAAGGGATTTATGAAAGGGAGAGGGAAGAAAAATATAGAGTAAAAATGGACAAGAAGCGGAAAACAAAAGAGAAACTATTTGAAAGATTGAAGTCTGGATACAAACAGAAACCACTTAGGAAATATAGGAAGTTGAGATTCTGAAACCCTAAGGGCCAATTCTGACCACGGAATGTGCTTGACTCCCAAGTCCTAATATGGCTGCTGAATATATTCTTCTCAACTTCAGAGACGGACAGGGATCTTGCGGAGAAGATGAGAAGCTTCATTTTTTTTTTCTTTTCTAACAGCTTCAGCACAGATTTTGCTCGTCTTTTCATTTTCTCCAAACACACACTCATGGGGTGAAGGGGAGAAGAAAACTGGCTTCCCTTTTGACTTCAGCTCACAACTCGGGGCATGTTTGCTCGAAACTCCGACTGGCCCCGACCATACCAGGATTTTGAGCAGTACTACGCATGGGTTGAAATTCTTTTTAACCATTCAAATTACTTATAGTTGAGGGACTGAACCACATAATTCGTTTATCATTGTATATTCTTTTGGTAATGTAGATGCAATTTTGTTACAAAGAAAGACTAGCTTGTTTTGTTTCCTTTTCTGACTTTCATTTTCGCTGCTTCGGAGGAACTGCAGAAGACCAAATCGTTGCTTGTACTGAAACTAACCTTCGCTTTGCTAGAGAGGAACTGCGTCAAATTTTTGGAATCGTTCTTGCCATATGAAGCGTTTGTTCGCAGCTTGGTTGAATAAGAAAACGATTAGATAATTTGTCTTTTAATACACTTAACTTATATTTCCTATTGATTTGAGATTCCTTTCGCATATGTGACTTTTGCAACTTTTAACTTGTACTCGTAAAAAAGTTTTTAAAAATGTTGAATCAATTTGTACTTAAAAAAAAAAAACTACTACATATTTTAATCAAAATCGTACTTCAATTAGAAGCTCAAGTTTTTAACTTAAGAGCATCTTTCTTCTTGTGAAAAAATTACATAAAATCTATTTTTATGAAACATACTTTTAATTTAACGTATTTTTATCATAATTTATTTATAAAAACAACTCTTAAATTATGATTGAAAACAAAAGATTACTTTCTAAAAATCATACCGGAGCATATCTTCAAAAACTCCGGTTTATGGACCATTTGCCACCTTATACCTCCTTTCTCTGCTTTTTTTTTTTTGAATTTGAACCTGAACCTACAGTCCATGTCAAAGCAGAAGTCTCTTAGTAAAATCCGACGGTACTAATTGCGCCAATCGGGCCGGTTGCTCCCATGTTCTCTCATGGCCCTTCTGTAAATCTATAATTTTTTTTTTTCGCGAATACGGACCCGACCCAGTTCAGAAAATTATTTCATTATCACCCTGAAAAACGAGAAAATTACAAATACCTCCCGCCCTCACCTGGGACCAATGGTCGGACCTGTTAATGATATTTTTTAGGGTTTAAATGACTCCAAAACCCAAACCTGTCTGTCTGTCTCTCCCGCTATCGGAAATAGTAGGTAACCCCACTCTATCTTTCCCTCTCAAACACTCCATATCTTTCTTCTATACTTCAATTCTGTTAATTATTTCTTTATTTTTATTCTCCCTTCTAATGTAAATGTACTAGCTTATGCAACCACGTACTTGTTTGATTTTTGTTTGTGGGTCATTTTGAGTTACACATGATTGATCTTTTTTAAAAAAATGGGGTTTGTTTGGTAGTGAGAAATATGGTTAGATGTTGGAGAATTACCTTTTTCCTGTTTGGTTTCTGAGAAAAATCAAGGAAATTGAGCAAAACTAGAGTGCAAAATTGTTGAATTTTTAGTATTTGGGCATTGAAAAATAACTGGAACTGATGATGCATTCTCAAGTTCCTAGTTTGATGTTCTAACGCGACACCGGATTGCAACTTTGTATATGATAGGATGGGGTCATGGCTGTCTGATTATTTAATACGTTTTGTCTATGAAAATTTATGTCTTTGCTGTGAAATTATTTGTCCTTTTGATACTCTGAATTTGGCTGTGTATCATGTAGGTTTTGTATGCCAAGGGTGGCGGGTTTTTTTTCTCATCATGCATGCTGTAAAGGGTGGCTGGGTTGGCCAAACATTTGCTTTAGCCAAGTGCAATGATTCTGGAGGGAAGAAGTCTCGGATTCGGAGGTCGAAGGAGGAGAGGAAGGGAATGGTGGAGTCCTTTATAAAGACGTAATTTAATGGTTCCCCTTCAATGAAGCGTAATTGTTTTATCCTTTTGGTCTGAAGATGATTACTAAAATTATTGGAATCATTAGTTTGCCCTATCTGTTCCCAATGAATGCTATGAAACTGCTTCTCTTGGATGTTGTTCGCTAATACTGAAAGATCGAGTGCTTGCTGAGATGCACATGCACTCACATGCTCATTGGCACAGACGGATGCACTGAATAAGTAATCCCAGAGGCGGCAGTCTATGACATTGTAGATTGGCTATTTCTTGTTTTTCCTGGAAGTTTGATTTATTGTTGCTAATAGGTTCATATAGTATTTTCCAAACCAAATGATAGCGATTAGCTTCTTGATAACACAATGATGACCCGGTCTAAATAGAAAATTGTTGTTTATATTAACCTTTTACTTGTTATCTTTCTTTTTTTAATTCTCATTGCAAAGTAGACTTGGGCATCTATTCATTTGGAAGACCTGCTTTCAGATACCAGAATTTAAACAATGGGCATTTTCCATCTCTTAATCTCACACACAAGGAAGTTGGTGGGTCGTTTTATACTGTACGGGAGATTGTTCGGGAGATAATCCAAGAAAATAGAGTGCTGGGTCCTGGTAAGTTGTCGCCGGAAGAGCAGCATAATGTTCAGTTTGTGGAGCAGTACCCGTTGGGTACAATTTCCACAGAACCTCAAGCTTCTCTATCCACATCTCCAACTGGAAGTCCTGTACCAGATCAGCATGATGAGGGCTCAAGTGAAGAGCATTTAATTTCTGAGCTACAGGTTGAACCTGAACAGCAGGGATTCGATAATGGGAGTCATGTAATTGTTAAGAATGAAGAAGCCGATAAACCAGAAGTTGTAGAGGTTCAAGAAACTGAACCTCTGGAAATAGAGAAAAGAATGGAAGAAGTGGCAGCATCTGATTCCAAATTAACTCAAATGGCAGATGTAATGGTAGAGACATTTCCATTGCCGCCTGTTACCAAGCCAGCTGGAAACTTGAATGGAAATTGCAGTAATGTCAGGGAGAAGAATGGGACTTGTGAAGAGAAAAATGTTGAAAATGTGCTCTTGGAACCAGAACATGACCCAGGAAATGGCATTTCTTTGCCTGACAGAATAACTTCCTTGACTGATAGCAGTTTGGCAGATGATAAAGAAGTGGATAAGTCAGCAGTTCAATTGTTGGAACAAAGCTCTGATATGGTGCGTGAACAAGCAGTGGAAAACTTTGCAGATCTGGCAATGGCAAGTTCGCATGCATCTGTCACCAAAGGAAGCATTTTGGAGGATGCTGAGGCTGACATGGATGTGAAGTTGAAGTCACCACATGATAACAAGACAATTGCTGAAACCAAGGTGAGTATTTTTCAATACCACTTATAATTATGTGACAACTTTCTGCTGGAGGTGTGCACTGCTGAAAACATAAACCACTAGCCCGCCTTCTTTTATTTTATTTCCCTTCCGTTCCTTTCTGGGTTTTCTTTTTCAAGATTCTCGCAACTTGCATGGTGTGGTCGGCTGCTAAAAGGCATTTATGATCTAGCAATCTGCAACTTCTTTGCGATTATTTCTTCCCTTCCAGTGCATTAATTTAATTCATGTTCTTGGTTTAATGCAAGGTGGAGTGTGTGTGTGTATAAAGCTAATTCCCTTAATATGCAAGATGATATTTGTACTTGGAGGAATGCACTGTACACAGATAGGGTAGCAACTATAAGCACAATAATTTGCCAATCGAAAATGTGGGGGAGAAGTTGAGCATGAAGCTATTAATGGCTCTTTTTTTTTCAGGTTGCTAGTGCCCAAAATGCCATGCAAACCAAATCTTTGGATGGCAATCACGTCACTGTCAGTATCTGTCCGTCAATAGCCAAAGAAATTGAGATAAAAGATAAAGCTGCAGTTCTACATAGTCGTGCCTCTCAGAAAGGAAACAGTCCAACACTAAATAGAATTAATCTGTAAGTATAAGTCATGACCATACCTTGAAACCCATTGCTTTGATTTGCCATCCGCTCTACGTTATTCACTGGAGTATTTCTAGATGTTGGTGTATTGATTTTTCTTTTGCTTTGTTTCCATGAGCAGTGAATCGTGGGAAGCGGCATCCAAGAATCAAACAAAACCAGAAACTAACCCGCTTTGGGCCATTTTTAAATCGTTCTTGGCTGCCTTTGTGAAATTTTGGTCAGAATGAATCCTTTAGTAGCGTAGTTATATTCTGTCTGCAGTTTCTGCAGGGTGGATTTATACTTTACCTGTCACGCCAGTGCATCAAGTTTTCCTGTCTATATCAAGAGTGATTGTCACTGCTTGTTTTCTTCCCCTTCATTTTTTTTTTCCCTTCACCCCCTTCACTAGACCATTATGATCATAAAAGCTTATTGCAATGGTTGGCATCCCACTTAAGGGTTACTTGAAGAAATGTGGTGGTTGAAATTTCGTTGGTAAAATAGCGGCAACACCCAGTAACCTCTGAGAGAAACCGTGTCATCTTTATGGTAGGTTGATATGGAGTGATATAAGATTCGTGTTAGTATCCCGAGACAGAAAAGAAGAGATAAGGATGAAGGGGATATGTTCGGTAGAGAGGACATTTTTTTTTTTTTTTTTTCTCTTGATTTTTTAAGTTCGACTAATGAAATTTATGTTAAAAAATCAATCTTATTTAGAAAAGATAAGGGAACAGAGAGTTTTTGTTTTTGTTTAAATAACCAAACATAAACATATTTCTGCTTTCTATATATTTCTCACAATTTTAGAAATGAACGATATCTTACTATTGAATTATAAATTGTGCTCGACTCGCCCTGCACTTGTTTTTTTCGTAATCCATGTGGGCTTCTCTTAAGCTTATCCTTTTTTATATATAGATTTTCTTACTACTGAGGGAGTTTTTGAACTTTGATGTCTACTATATAAGGAACGAAAACATCCTCCTCGTACCTATTTCCTAAAGAAAGATGAAAAATAAACAGTTTTTTGGTAAATAAATAAGTTATGCAATAGTGATAGCTCTTCGTCGTAATTTTTAAAGCCAAATCAATCCCAAGGTGAACCTAAAACCTTGATTAATCAGTCGTCTTTGCAACTTCAGTGGGCCTTAACAGCGATGTTTTGAAGGCCTGGGCCTGTGAATAAATCTCCAAGGGCCGACCATAAGGTCATATCGTACAAATGGATTTGTTATCTCGAGTTTTTACATAGAAGCAATAAGCATAAAATAAATAAATAGAAACCAGGGCTGTTCCCCACTTGGAATTATCAACCACGAAAATATAAAAGAAGCATGTTAAAAGAAAAAACAAAATAAATACTTATATGTAAATCCCACCCCCTTCTAATCAAGAAAAAGAAGTTTCTAAAAACTATTGAATTCCTAAAAAAAACAATCTCGTTTTTCTATTATTTCCTATAAATCACCTCAAAAACCCTAAATTCATGAGAATTATCCATGCTAACTTGCCCGCTCAGAGTTAATTAAGATGTAAGCACAGTTTTTATTTTTGTATTAGCAGCATTGAAAACCAAAACTGAAGGATATTATGCTTATCAAACAATTGTAGGGCCTATTTTATTTTATTTTGCAAATCTCATCTAGGCACGATTTTTTCAGATTCTCTAGTCTCTAACGCCTATTCAGGGTTCACATATCTGGATTAAAGGATTAAGACTAAAGCAACTTTAAACTAAGAAGATTATTAAAATAAAAAATTGAAAATAAAGAAATTATGTTGAATTGATCTCAAAAAAGCAAAATCAATTTTTCATCTTCCCACCACGGCTCCACTCTTAGCACTGCCGCAAGACCACCCTAGCTTTCGTAAAACCATCGTGGCCAGAATCCAATTGTAGTCCAACCACCATGTATTTAAAATCCACGATCCCTATCACGAAATATAGCCAAATCCAGCGCACAGAATATATCAACATGTCACCTTCGTGACAGCACCAGTCACCACCACAACGCTCTT